TGAGCAGCCCACGCGACCACAAGCTGAAGGTCTTCCTTGTCCACCTTGCGCACATGGTCCACGTCCTTGCAACGCAGCTCAAGCCAGGGAGATGTCCCTTGCACGGTTCTTGTCAAGTTCTTTCCTGGGCTCTCTTCATGTTGAAGACCTCGGTACCAAGCCTCAGCATCGACTTGACGGGTACGCAATGCACACACCCAGTGGCACAGTGACATCTGTGCGCCTTTCCAGGCGCTCTTCTAAATGCATCAGCTGCGGAGGCGCGACCTCCGAACTGCCGCAGAATGTCAGAAAGTACCCCATGCAAACCCCCCGATGCAGAAACCGGCTCTGACAGCTCAGCAACGGAAAGCTGAGTTCCCAGCTCCCTCTTCTATACTGCCCATGCCCATGCTCATGCTCATGAGGCCATCAAGCGAAAGGGAATCCCGAAAGCTTCCCAGGGCCTGGCACTGCACTCCTCTATGTGACTTCTGCGCACATGGTTCAATGGCCATTCGTCATTCCATGTCCAGTCTTCTCTCCACGCTGCCGAGCGGCCATGGAACTTCGCACCGGCATGCTGCTAACTGGGACACCTCCCCCTTGCAGCCACCTGAGACAAGCCTTCAGCTAACATTTCTACATGCTTGGCCTTTCTGGGGCACTCACTGCACCACTTTCGCTTCAAACTCTTCGCGATCATTGTCGAACCTGGCCGGCAAATACACTTTAGACATGAGCTCTTCCCCTCCCGGTGCACTAGCGACAAACAGCCGTGGGAGCTGTTGAAGGCACATGGCGAGATCCTTGCCCATCTCGTCTCTGGGCTTGAAACACCAACTCCACCTGAATCGATACTTTGACCTCTTGTTTAACGACTCGCGCAGCTTAAGCATACCCAACTCAATCTCCCACCTGATGTCTGCCTCGCCAACCATCTGCCACGGAAGCCTGCTGTCATCTTCAACCAGGAAGGTGCGAGTCCTGAGGACTGAGGATGCTGTGTCCCCAGACTCCGGTGTATCTGCAAACGAGGGCCGAGCTCCACATGATCTGAAAAGTTAACATGCTTTCTGCTTTCGTTGGGCCTGGCTTCCTCGGTGAACTGCACATCCGCAGTCGGAGAACTGTTGCAGGTAGCATTTGGGCCGGTGCTGCCCTTGTGCTTTCCGCTTCTTCCTCCGGGCTGCAAAGCAGAATGCAGCTACAGCCTACAGCTTTACATGACGAACTGTTAAAACAATGTGGTTCGGCCGCTCCTCCGGATCTGGAAAGAGCTGCTTTTGAAGCATCCTGGATGCCACACCCACATAAAGTCTTGGGAACTCCACGACATGATACGTGGACATCGCAAACGTGCCTCCGCAGTCGTCGCGGCAGGAACTCCAGAAATGAAAGCAACGTCTGGTTGACGGACTGCCCAGCACATGTGACTATGCACCGGGACGCACCGTGACACGAGGATGAGTACCATGAGCACTTCAGTCCCAGTCAAAGTAAGCGCAAGCAAGTAGTAAAGTACGCATGGCTTTCTGCTCACTCTGAACATCAGACAGCGCCTCAATGTCGGCTTTGACCTCCGCAATTCCCCGATTGACCTGCAACATAGTACAGAACCATGCCATCCGCAGAAATTCAAAAAGAGCCGGTTGGCCTGCCCATCGAGATCCAAGAGCTTCTTGCCCAAACGAGCAATGCGCGAGGAGTTGACTTCGTCCTCAACAAAGACGGTCGATCTACCGCTTTGCCGCAAAGTCAGTCAACAGTCTGAGGTCACTGCAGATGAGTCAGGCATGTGCCCAGCAGCCGATTCTGCACCTCTTCTTGAGTTCTCCGCAGCGAAAGCATCGATACGAGATGGTACAACTGAGCTGAGATGATGTGAGATCTCTGTGTCTGTCAAGCTTTGACGAAATGCCCTCAACGGTGCTGGTTACCGTGAACATGCCTTGAGTCGATGCCTCGTTCTAACCACGAGAAAATCATGAGAATGCACAATGAAGGCCAGCGGCCCTACCATGCCATTCCTACATCGCGAAACGCTTTCCTGAGGCTCCCACTGGCATCGGTTGGCACTGCAGTCCGCTCCGCCATCTGCCTAAAAGCGCGCCCCGGAAGAGACATACTGCAGATTGCGAGTGCAAAGTCTGAAAGACAACAACAACTCGAGTGTACTTGCATTATCTTGCAATCATGCAGTATAAACTGGCGTTCTTTGCGCGCCCTGAACCGTTGCCATCTGCTGCATCTCAGGTGGCCTCGATGGCAAGGTCGCTCCAGCCTGAACACCCGTTCTCACAGCCAGCACCATATTACAACATACTTCAACTCACACATATTGTTCGCATGTTTGAAATGGCACGCTTACTTCCATATCCTTGCTTCCATCACTCCATCAGTCCGGCCTTCAGCTTGGGCTTCTTGTTGTCTTTTTCTCCCACCGAGACGATGGCTTGGAATGAGCCTCTCGAGAGTTCACACCATGTAGTGCCACGCCGAGCCACTGAGTTCGCTTTTTGCTGACAACAAAGAACACAGCTCAAGGCTGTGAATATGTAGCTTCGAAGCAATGATCTGGGGGCTGACCAGAATCAACTTTCTGGTGATCCATGGCGGCTCCATGCCTTGGGAATGTGAAGGGGCCGTGATCGGCTCTTGCATGGTTCAACCCGGTGCTCCGGAATGTTCAATCTGAGATCAGACACACCAACAGGTAGTCCAGCCGAGACTGTTGATACACAACCTGGGGCAGCGGTTTGCCGTGGGGCCAGGACTGGTGAAGACCGGTGCCCTTTTGCATCCTTTGGCCCTTCTGGGCCTGGTCCACGATGTTGCTCACCTGGTGAGCAGATATGAGCAGAGCGACACCAAGCAACGCATCGTTCAAGACCTGTGCACGTCTCTAGGCTGGCCACATGCCCGAGGCTCACATGAACATGGAACATGGCTATACAAGATTGTATGTCAGGGAACCACCTCCCCTCTCCCCTCTCCCCTCCCCCGAGGACCACAGCAGGGACACGGCTTCTCTTGGGACACTCCAGGGATACTCGGCTCTCTGCGGGCTCCTCTCAAGACTAGGAGGGACCTACGAGAGCTTGTGAGAGCTTGTGGTGCGTGGCGGTGTTTTCTGTGCGTGGTCTGTGCCTGGCGGTTGTCTTGCTAACACTCTATATCACGGGCTGGCAGGCCATTCTAAACATCAGCGAAAGGGGGGTGGGTGATCTTGCGAAAACCCCATAAGCCCCAAACCCCTAAAATCCTTTCCTAGACCATGAGCCCTAACACCCTAAACCCCCAAAACCCTAAGCGCATAAAACCTTGAGCCCTAAAACTCCAAACCCTAAACATCCCTAAACCAAACACCACGGGGGGGAGGGGGTCAGGATGTAGGGTCTTAGGGTTTAGGGGCTTTCGGGTTATAGGGTTTTAGGGTTGGTCAGGTTTTGTGGATTTTGCGCTTGTTTTGAATCGAAGGGTTCTCAGGGTTTTCATTCAAACGCTGGTCTTAGTTTCGGGCTGGTGTGAGTTTTTGAGTTTCGGTGTGGGGGGGGGGGGGGGGGTGGGGTAGGGGGGGGGCGGTAGGGGAGGGTGGGGGACGGAAGCATATATGTGGAGGAGAACAACAACATATATCCATATATATATATATATATACATACACACACTAGTCTGTAGATATTGATGCGTCAATGTTTACTGGTGTGTACTCGTGTGCCATCCCTGACCTCGGCTTGGAGCCGCTTCAGCTTCTCCACTGCGAAGTTGGCCTCAGTTTAAAAGGGCAACTCTAAGACTCTATGAGGCCTAGCCCGAAAGCTCACTTAGAACTCTGTTTTGTTGAAGGCTGCTTCTTTGATGTGAAAGGGATCGTGCCTGGCCCTCAGCATGCTTGTGGGCAGATCGGAGGCCCGCAATCTTCAGCATGCCTCGGAGGAGTCGCAAAGTCTTCTGAGGTTTCTGGGACATGTCGGGCTGCTTGGGTTCCGGGCTTTGCTGCTGGCTGTCCTGCAACCTCTTCACTTTGTCCTCGACGTCCTGTGAATTCGCATAACGTTTGACGACACAGTAACTGATAAACGGGGCCGAGGTCTCTCCACTGAATTCGGGCGATACATCTAAATGTGCACCACGACTCTGGATCTGCGGCACAGGCATCCTGCATGTCCCTTGCACTCGGCCCTTCGCCACTCCTTAGAGATGGAATGAGATGCGGACGGTACTGGCACAGCACATGCGACTGCCATTGCCAACAGCCCAGGGTGTCTGACAGAGCACGAGCTCTCTCCTGCACCAGAAGGGGCAAGATGACAGTGCATGTGCAAGCGTGTGCAGCCTGCGCACCTGATCGTCTGTCTCAATGTTGTGGAGCAGCGCGGCGTTCAACTTCTTGTCGAACTCACTCCGCACTGACCTATATATGCCCTGTAACATGATTCGACAATGCTTCCAACCGAACTCGTGCAAAGAGACACAGAAGCGTGGGCCCGTGGGCCTCATTTCGTTGCTGACAACACTGAGGATGACGTCGACCTGCAACCCACCCTTCTGCCAAAACAATCTTGTGTGAGCTTTGAGCATCTGTGAGCATGCATTGGCCCATTCCCAGCGCTTTTCTAACACCTCAAGGTCGCCAGACTGCGCCCGAAAGGTAAACTACAGAGCTGAATGCAGTCTCTCACTTGCTTCTCCTCGCCGATTCAGCCTGCTGCCAATAAGTCACGGGATTTCAAGCACACAGCACAAGGAGCTCAGAAAGTGAGGACGTCAGGACCCACAGCGCCAGCAGCTGAAATCGCATGCGGCAACTGTAGCCACTCCAGCAACCTGCTCCTCCTCCGCCTCCCTGGCCAACACCTCCAAACTATCGCTGCCCACTCATGCAAGGAGTTCAGTTGCGTGTCCCATCTAGGAGGAGGACATTTTCGCCGAGCATAATGCTCATCACCACAGCATCGTGCTCTGCCTGGAAGGTCCATTCTCTTCTCTGAGCATTTCAAGCTGCACGGGCCGTGGAGCTACACCTCATCCACTTGATGCTGCAGGAACTCTATGCTGTCCACAAGCCCATCCACACGCCTGCAAGTCTGAAGAGCTGAAGGCAATCCAAGCAAGGCAAGTGCAAGGACAGGGAGAACATGTGAGAAGTAAGCCTCATGTCTTTCGCCATTAGTCTGGAAAGCACAGAGTTGAACTCGCTGTCCTCCGGCCTGTCAAGCACTCGGCGGCTTGATCGCGAAAGGCTCTGCTGGGGGGGCACTGAGGGCTCAACATTGCATCGGCAGTTTCTCCGACTCTACTGGAGATACACGACCTTGCCAACTGGCATGCTGTCGACTTCTGTTCGTCACATGCCCATTTAGCTGGGGAGGAGACTCCAGCTTTTGCAGCTCAACCGACCACATGACCAGTTGCGTAAACAGCTGGAACCGTCTCCTGTGAACGTGGTGAATGCTTCCAATGTCTGCAAAACGCCTCCAGTGAGGACAGTGCGGGACCATTGCTTGCAACTCATCCATTTTCTGAAAGGCCTGGCAATCTGGCAGCGTATATCTCCGTGGCCGGCTTACCCAGGCTGCAATGCTTATGTAAGGCAGCGGCGCTGTCGGACAGTGCCGGAAAAACCTTCGGTTTTGAAAGAAAGAGACATCGGAATTGCCAAAAAAACACATCGCGAAGATGCATGGCCACCTTCGTAATCTTTTCACAGAGGTCCTTGGGCTTGAACTCCTGGTGTGAGATGGGCATGACAACAAGCGCGTTCAACTCCAAACAACTTCCGCATTGGCCCTCGACCATCCTCCCACTTCTCACCAGGAGCATCCCCACCGCGAAACAAGGCAAATGTGGGAGTGCCTCCGAAGCTCCCAAGGCGAGATGCCAGCGCGCAGACAACTCAGCAGCCACGCCTCTTGCAACTGGACAACCGTCCGGAAAGTCGTTCTTCTCAATGTTTAACCTCAATCACACTTCTGGCATGCTACATGACTCTGTAAAGAGGTTCTGAAGCGTAGGACCTCTTCAGGCGAAAAGGTGCCTGGCACGGTGTGAAAGAACTGCCTTCCAGCTTCACTGTCTTAATGTTGGTGCCTTGTTCTCAAGCAGGAGCTCACCCTTAGCCGTGTGTAAACGAGATGGCACCACTCCAAGCAAAGCATAACGGGCACCAAGGTCCCAACCAAGGAGTTGATGAAAGGTCTCATCAAGAAGCAAAGGAAGCAGGTGTCCTGCGGCTGCAAAGAAACAACATGCAAGCAGCAACAACAACAATGCACAGACGTCTGATGTCCTCATACATTTGCAGTAACACCATCGGTTTTCCTGGCTGGCTGTCGGCCAGAACATCCTGCACGAGTTGCCATCAAGAGGACTGCAATAAAGCCGCTTGCAAGATATCAGATCATGCACTCCTTCTGAAAAGATGCGTTTGAGACAAGGGGAACCGCCTTCGGTGCCTGCCAACACCATGGTGACACCGCTGCTGCGCTGCACATTCTTAGGTAGGTGCCTTGACCCTTGTGAGATCCTGGGAAACTGGCTTGAAAAAGTCCAAGACCTGGTCTCTCGGCAACAGGCCATGCTGTCATGATGTCTGCAAGCCTCCATTTGTGCACGTGGCGCGCCTCCTGCTTTGGGATCTCACCCCCAATGTGCAAAACCGATCTTGGCATGTGCACGGCTGACTCACGCTGACGGCGGCATTGTTTCGAAGTCATGACATGAGGCAACGGCTTTCGCTGTCCCTTGTACATAACCTGGAAGTTCACGGGCATCAAAGCCAAAGGCTTCTCAGACTCAGCGTACCCTGTCAAAGCGTGAAAGTAAGCTCTGGACCACTCTGAGTGGTGACTGCGCGCCTTCTTCGGCGTCATCGTCACCTTCCCGAAGTGAAGGACCCTTACGTCCGTCCGTGACAACACCCTTGCACACTGCTGGGCCAAACCTGGGTGCGGAAGAGGTGGGTCACCTCACCAAATGCTACCACATGATTCTTTGCCAGATCAATCCATGATCAGTCCATGTGCAGCGCTGGCCTTCCTTTCGAACATTCTGATAGTACCTGTAGCCAACAACAATCATCGGGCCAAACGCTACACCTCGCATGCCGGTTGCAGATGAAAGTATGCGCGTACACGGCGGAAAGATACTCCTCCAAAATGACCCTAAAGCCATAGCACCTCCCTTTACAGAAAAATGTCTGGTCATGTCTTATCAAATAGGGTCGCCAGGGAACCGAAGAGCACCCTGCACATTTGAGATCCAGGGTTAACATTGTCACTGACACGCACCAGCGACGTTGTGAGTGTTAGCGCAGGTATTCTTCTCGTCCGGCTCTCTTGTTCTCCTGCTTTGGATGTAAATGTAAATAGGAAAACCGAATTTATCCATGTTGTAACCGGAAATCCAGATTTGCTTGGGTTTATTCGGGAACCTTTGATGTATTGATACTTTGTATAGGAAAACCTTTATTGGGGTCGCACGTATAAACCCGAAACTCTCCCCAGGGAGTTGTTCTGGCGCCGGGTCTGAACCAAAGTTTTGCAGGACCGGGGGTCATCATAACGAAGGTGGGGGGGACGGCGGGCCTCTTCTGGCTTCTTCTCGGCCTCTTCTTGGATTCTTTGGGGGTTTCTTCTGGGCTTCTTCTTGAACCTGAATCAAAACAAACTTCCGCCCCGGACCCGGACCCGCACCTGGACCCAGACTCGGACCCCCCCCCCACCCACACAAGAAAACGATATCCCCAACACCACCGGAATCTATGCAAGCATCGCAGGCGAAAGGCCCTTTCCCGGCACGATAGATGAGCAATCCCGGGGCCAGACTTTATGAACATGCACTGTAGCTCCCTCCTGCAAGAAAAGACACTTTTCGCACTGCTTCGCATGAAGTAGGTGTAGGTCGGGGCAACGGAGTCAGCTCGACGCTTTCCCCTGGAAAACAAGCTGGAACTTCAAAAGCTGCGAGGCCAAAAGCGGCCGCCCAGCTGTAACTCCAAACTTTCACGCTTTCGTTTTAGCCCCTACGGGGTAGCCTTGCCGAAGGAATCGATGCTTCCGGTCGGCTCTGCAGATCAGGATTTCTGAATCTCGGGTCTGGACTGCTTTAAGGAATGAGTCAAAGAGTCAAGTAGCTGCACCACCTCTGCTCGATTGAAAGAAGCTGGCAAGAAGATCTCTTCCCGGAAAGAATTGTCTCCATCAACCCCTTTTTGTGTTTTTACGACCCCTGCTCAAGATGGGATATCGGGCTCGAGACAACCTAGCATAATGGAAACCGTTCATGAAACGAACTTTTTGGCACAAATGCCGGCCCCGAAATCCCACCGTTAACACCCCACGTTGCAATATGACCCATACATTAATCCTCCACAGGCTTCTGGGAGATAGTCCGTTTCTCCTGTATTTCATTCCACTACCCTTCCATGATGCAATCGGAAAACTTCTACAAACATGTTGCTCGTACACGTCTCGGTTTGGGTTTAGGGTTTAGGGTTTAGGGTTGAGGGTTTATGTGTGGAGTTTAGGGCTTAGGGTTTGAGGTTCTGGCTTGGGTCATGCACGGCTTAAGACAAGCGGAGCTTGGGGGGAGGGGCCACAGTCCCCCCATTTGCGAACACAACGCAGGGGCCGCGTTTGTTGAAATGTGATTCATATAAGTCGCGCAGGAATGTTCATTGACGGTACGACGTTCTTCTAAGCAAGGTTGCGCGGCTGAAAAGAGCGAGGTGGTTGGCCCCAATTTTCTAACATGATGTTCATCGCATGTTTATTGACGTGAAGGCTGCACGGTTTAAAAGCTGGTCTGGTGAAATGCCACCGTATGCAGCCTGGATCGGTTGCCCATCACTGCCCTCTTGCCCCTTGGGCATGAACTCTTCACCTGCCCTGACTGCCTCCTCAAGTTGGGCCTTTTGATTCCTTCGATGTCTAGGTCTGTCATCCATCAGGACATCTCCGCTTGAGCTACACCAGACGCCAAGACAAAGGGGCAGCATGTCCGTCACTGCCTTGCACCCTTGCACTTTGTCAGCCGCCCAGAGGGCAACAAACTCAGGCTCCGGTGCCACGGTTTCACAGGGACTCATGCCGCGACCACGAAAGGACCGCACATGCAACCCTTTCCACACGGTGGCTCAAGGCCAAGCGGCAAGTTACATGGTGTCGGGACTAGTTCTACACTCTAAGAAACCCTGCAAGTATTCGCTGAGAATTCATAAGATGACCAAAGACGCACCACTGCCACATCTGCAATGTGCAGGCACGGCGCACTTGATCTGCTTTAACGAAGCTTCCGCAATTAGGGTTCGAATGATGCGCTGGATGTCCTCACCTTGCTTAGCATTTGGTACAATTTGTGTGCTGTCAGGCACACCCTGCATGCACAACAAATGAGGGCATTACGACGAGCTGTCAAATCCTCCACCTCGCTGGCTTGGACCAAAGAACTGTCAACATGGTCAGGGCTGCAGATGGGCCTTGTCCAAGTAAAACACAAACAGGTTGTCGTTCTCATCAAAAACCTACCAGCAACGTTTCCTCTCAAAAGTCTTGGCGAAACAAAAGAGCACGCAAAGGCCGTGGGGGGCCACAACACAGAGAAAGGTGTCACAAGTCCAAAGGTAACATGCACCGCAACAGTCTCTCTGGGCTCTGTGGCATTCCCGAACTCAGCGCAGCCTCATCTGTGATGGGCTTTATGTTCACTTCGATCGTCTGCCCAGGCATTCCCCATGCCTGGCACGCTTTGGCCGACTTTGCACCCGATGAAGAGCTTCAGCTTTGCGGTCAGAGATTGTCGGAGATTCTCAAACCAGCGGCAGCCAGACCCAAAGGCTCACACCCGCAACTGCAGCAGCAGTTCCGACTGCCTTAGGACATGACGGTGCACTGCATATTTCGTCCGTCTAAGTTATGATCCTGTGAGGGGTTCACCCTGGGCTTCATACAGCACCAGTGACAACTCGCGGCCACGAAGTACTGGAAGAACTGCCCCCATAGGAGGATGTTCCCTGGCT